CCCGAAGGGTCAAAGGAAGGCCCAGATCTTGATGGGATGAGCATTGGTTCTTCAGAATACTGTTGTCCAATGGCCACCACGATTGGGTCAAAGCTTGGGGGTGTGTCTCTCTGCCCCCCTCCATAGGAGTAAACTTCATACTGATAATAACAGACGCATGTCGGAGGATCCCGTATTATGAGGTCACACATTGCGGTGACCTCACGCGGGAGTGGTCTCAGGTCCGGCCAATACCGGTCACTTACGGGACACTGGGGATGGGTAGAAGGATGGGACTTCCCCCGCCGTTGCTGCACGTTCCCTCCAAGGCAGTCCGTACCCTCCGACCCGATGACCGACCCAAGGAGTTGCTCAGTTTAGTGGACAGTCTTCTGGGGGTCCCGGACAAAGAAAAGTCCTCGTCCACAGCACAGCTGTACAACTGAAGACTGAGCTCGAAGCCCGGCTCCACATCCGAGCTGGAGAGAGAAGGAGACATGCGATCAATGGGGAGTAATACAGGCAGGACTGGTGATGGATAGGGAGTAATACAGGCAGGACTGGTGATGGATGGGGAGTAATACAGGCAGGACTGGTGATGGATGGGGAGTAATACAGGCAGGACTGGTGATCTATGGGGAGTAATACAGGCAGGACTGGTGATGGGTGGGGAGTAATACAGGCAGGACTGGTGATCAATAGGGAGTAATACAGGCAGGACTGGTGATGGATGGGGAGGAATACAGGCAGGACTGGGGATGGATGGGGAGGAATACAGGCAGGACTGGGGATGGATGGGGAGGAATACAGGCAGGACTGGGGATGGATGGGGAGGAATACAGGCAGGACTGGGGATGGATGGGGAGGAATACAGGCAGGACTGGGGATGGATGGGGAGGAATACAGGCAGGACTGGGGATGGATGGGGAGGAATACAGGCAGGACTGGGGATGGATGGGGAGGAATACAGGCAGGACTGGGGATGGATGGGGAGGAATACAGGCAGGACTGGGGATGGATGGGGAGGAATACAGGCAGGACTGGGGATGGATGGGGAGGAATACAGGCAGGACTGGGGATGGATGGGGAGGAATACAGGCAGGACTGGGGATGGATGGGGAGGAATACAGGCAGGACTGGGGATGGATGGGGAGGAATACAGGCAGGACTGGGGATGGATGGGGAGGAATACAGGCAGGACTGGGGATGGATGGGGAGGAATACAGGCAGGACTGGGGATGGATGGGGAGGAATACAGGCAGGACTGGGGATGGATGGGGAGGAATACAGGCAGGACTGGGGATGGATGGGGAGGAATACAGGCAGGACTGGGGATGGATGGGGAGGAATACAGGCAGGACTGGGGATGGATGGGGAGGAATACAGGCAGGACTGGGGATGGATGGGGAGGAATACAGGCAGGACTGGGGATGGATGGGGAGGAATACAGGCAGGACTGGGGATGGATGGGGAGGAATACAGGCAGGACTGGGGATGGATGGGGAGGAATACAGGCAGGACTGGGGATGGATGGGGAGGAATACAGGCAGGACTGGGGATGGATGGGGAGGAATACAGGCAGGACTGGGGATGGATGGGGAGGAATACAGGCAGGACTGGGGATGGATGGGGAGGAATACAGGCAGGACTGGGGATGGATGGGGAGGAATACAGGCAGGACTGGGGATGGATGGGGAGGAATACAGGCAGGACTGGGGATGGATGGGGAGGAATACAGGCAGGACTGGGGATGGATGGGGAGGAATACAGGCAGGACTGGGGATGGATGGGGAGGAATACAGGCAGGACTGGGGATGGATGGGGAGGAATACAGGCAGGACTGGGGATGGATGGGGAGGAATACAGGCAGGACTGGGGATGGATGGGGAGGAATACAGGCAGGACTGGGGATGGATGGGGAGGAATACAGGCAGGACTGGGGATGGATGGGGAGGAATACAGGCAGGACTGGGGATGGATGGGGAGGAATACAGGCAGGACTGGGGATGGATGGGGAGGAATACAGGCAGGACTGGGGATGGATGGGGAGGAATACAGGCAGGACTGGTGATGGGTGGGGAGTAATACAGGCAGGACTGGTGATTGATAGGGAGTAATACAGGCAGGACTGGTCACATGGTACAATATCGCGTACTGGATACTCACAAGACAATGGGGTTCACAAAGCAGATATCGGTGGCAGTTCGATCCACAAAGACCATTTCTGTGTCGCAGACCTCCCCGCGGATCTGCAGGGCGCAGAACACGGCGCAGCGATGGAGCTCTGCAACATAAGGAAAGAAGGGAGGTGAGGGCGGTGCAGGGATCATACACTGGTCATTTCAGACATGTAAGAGGACGTCACCACACGCTGGACGATTGGATGTCAAGCTCTGACACTGCGATGAGGGTGGCGTGTGCCGGTCTGAGTGCGGGAATTGGGGGCGTGGCCTGTACAGAATGTAGGTAACACTGCTAGGGGCTCACCTCCTTTATTCTTGAAGTATTCACTGTCCTTCCACATGAGGGGAATCCGGAGATCTACAAAGAGACAAATATATCAATGGAAGTATGAAACAAATGAGCTTCGAGGGCCAACTCACCAAAATGTGGTATTTCAGTTGTAGGTGGAGCCTGGTGGGAGTGATCAGCCTCTGGCATCTGATATGTCCATCAGTGGGGTCTCCCTACTATACATCCTGCCTCTGTTCCCGTCCAACTGGGAGCTTGAGGTGTTCCCGTCCACGCAGAGATAGTGAATGAAGATAAGGAGTCCGGAAAGAAGTCCCCCCCCC